TGCTCACCGGCCTGGGGGTGGCCTTGCTCTGCTTCGGCACCAGCGCCTCGGAGAGAAAAAGCCGATCTGAGTGGAGTAGGTGGAGGCAGGTGGAGTAGGTGAGGGGTGAAGATGGGTGGGGTGGGGGGAGTGTAACTCGCGTCCGGCTTGGAAGTGCTGGTGTGCCGTTCAGTTCGGGTGGGTTTGAGAGTGGGTGGTGGGAATGTAGTGACTAGTGTTCCCGGACATGGGGGACCTGCTGCTGAAGGGGTGCGGTGGTGGGCCTTGTGGTTGAGTGAGTGAATGAGTGGGTAGGGGGAGATTTGCACTTGAACTGGGCTATTTTTCATCACTTTGCTTGTATCAAACTTGGAGAGATGTTGAACTTGTTTGAAGTATTTTCTTTTTCCGCGGTGACCTTGTGAGGAACTCCGCCCTCCACCCCGTTTCACCTCCTCAAATCAGCCTGAAAACGGAGCGTCGTCCAGGCATCGTGCTGGCGGTGAAGGTCTTCAAGATGGACTTGTGACCGCTCGGCTGGGCTGAGAGAGAGGGAGAGAGCGCGAAGAGGCAAGTGGTCGTGGTCTAAGTGGTCCGATATAGCCTAGTATAGGGTCAGCTCGATGGGGCGTGGGAATCAATTGTTCCCCAATGCCTGTGACATGAAGACCCCAGTGCGTAAAAATGGAGCCATCCTCCGGAAGGGATTTAAAATGGTTTAAACACTTTGCAGCTAGGTGGTGGCTTGTGTTCTGAATTCCAGTGACCAATGGGAACATATAATCCAGTGCAGATCTGAATGCTATTATATAATCAGAATGTCATAAATCCAAGTGCCATTTTGGGTATTCCAACCACTTGCCTCATCCCAGTGATATCTATTTCTGAAAGGCTGTATGTGCTTCAAACCGCAAGAGCTTGCTCCGACTGATTGGGCAAAAGGCAAATTTTGCCGTGATCAGATGTTCTTTTGGGTAGCAGACTTCTGGCAGAAAAGCCGGTATTTCGAGGACACGCTGGTATCAAGTGATCAGCTCGGCCCGGACACGCGGAGCACCTCTAGGCCTCTATGCCCTCTAGGACCCTCGCTTTCAATTCGAGGGGGCGATGAAGCTGGGGATCAAATCACGGTCAAGCGCTGAAGGAAGGCACTCAACCTTCTGACTTTTTTGTTCTGAATGTGCACATGGTAGATGTTCGATTCGCTTCAGCCCTGGTCGCTTGGCTGGGAATCCAGCGGAGCAGCGAAGCTTTCGGACGCTCAGATCTGGGCGATTTGATGCCCACATCAGCAGTGGCTCAACTGATGGAGGACGTACAATTCTGTGGGATGGACTTACCTGGCCAATTCTTGGACTCCCGAAGCCATGGTCTTGTAGAGATGGCGCGGCCATGGTTTTTAGCTCGTTGGGTCCCCACCCAGGTTTTCGGAAATTCATCGCATGGGTTGCCAGGACTGCTCGGTTGCCAAACCCAACAGGCACCCAAATTCCTTGCTGCCTTGGTGCATGAAGATCGGACTGGCACTCTGCTGTATGAGTCCTTCCTCTTTTGGGCCATCGGCCCTATCTTCCATCTGCAGACCCCTGCTGGACTCCTCTCGTGAGGGGAGTTGCTGAACGAGACCAGTTGGGGGTCAGGCGAGCCACGGAAGAGGACCAGCCGCAGCCAAGGGCAAAGTCCAGAGATCAAGGCCTCAGATGCTTCCCCATCACTTCAAGTTCGGGTCAGTTTCCTAAAGAGGGAGATCCGGTGGGTTGCAAAGAGAGCTTGAAGAAACATTGGGCAGCCATGAAGACGACCAAAGCTTCGCCGCTTAGATCCCCCCAAAACAGGGATAGTTCACTTCACGAATTGAAAGACTTTTAGAAGGGGATGCGCTGTGCGTCTGTTTCATGGCGCCCCGTGCGATAGGAATGAAGGCTGGCCGAGTTTTTTTTATTACTTCCTTCACCCTCAGTGATGGCTGGGACTCCACAAGAATTTGGTCCATCAGCAGTTGGGGTGCTTCATAGCCTGACATGCATACAATAAAGAAGCACGCATGACAGATCAGATTTGGTAGATTCTGCTGTTTCCATTTTTGGAGATCACAAGCAAGCACAGAGCCGGTAGATTCTCCTGCTCTTCTTCATGGGCGAGGTGGAAGGGGCCTTGGATCTCAAGCAGCTTCGGCTACGGCGGCGGCGGCGGCCGTCGATTCGATGTCTTCCGCAGGGCGGCCCACATGGGATGAAACGACGTGAGCGTTAAGAATGTGGACTGTTTTAAGATTGGAGATGATGTGGACGTAGAACTAGAACCATCCTGCTACTTAGGTTTTGTTCGTCAATCAACAGTCAAGATTATGGTATGGGATGCCTTCTTGCGGAGTGGGAGAATGAAGTTGTGAAGGACAACTGCCACCGTGGTTCTGTCATGCAACAGTCTTGGTACTGAATAAAGAACGGGTTGTGTTGCCGGTTGTGCAATCAATCAATCAATCAATCAATCTCTCTCTCTCTCTCTCGCCCAAAACGAGGGATGGACGAGGGTGTGCGGTCCTTTGCAGCCCTGTGGGGTGTGGGGCCGCACCCCTGCGTGGAGTTGGTGAGGAAAATTCTGCTTGGGTTGGTGAAGTTGGGCTGGGAGCTGGGATTGTGGCACCAGTTGTGGTGGAATGGGGCATCTGTTTGTCCAAGCTAGTGGTTTTGGAATCCAAGCAGTTTAGAGAGGGGGAGGGGTATCGTCGTGATCAGGTCTGTAGTTCCAAGATCTCTTGGCCGCTGCACCTGGGCGCCGAACCACTTTTTAAGTACTGAACCCACTGTAGCCGTCTATGATTTCTTGCTTTGGGTTCGTGCAGAGCCTTTTAGATGCTCAAAAGCACACGTCTGTTGGAGCGGCCCTACTTCAACGCGAGGGAGCCCAGGATGTGGTCGCGATTGAAGAAGCCAGCGCCCTTCTGAGAGGGGTTTCTATTTTTCGCAGCTCTTTTTCGCCTATGCCATCTGTACCACTACCAGTTATATAAATAGAGTCCGTTCAGGTCCCTCAACCTCTCTGGGTGCAACTGAACTCCCCTAGTCCAGGCTTGAACTCTTCCCGTTTTCTTCGGCCTTGAGCCGAAGGGAGCTGAAGTCACCCCGGGTTTGAGCTGAACACATCAACCAGGTGTGTGTATATATGTGTGTGTCTTTTGTCCCGCATACCTTTTGGCATTCTGCAATATCAGTGGGGAAGAGATGTTTTTCAACGCAGACCTTAAGCAGCTGGTTAAGATTCCTGGCACTACGCCACCTGAACGGTACCACACGACACCCTGGTGGTGAATCCCACGTCGGAATCCACTGGACGCTCTGTGTACAGAAATTGCGAGGTCATCTCCTTTAAGAGAACAATGACATACGCTGAGTACTTGATAGGCTTTAAGAGGGAATCGGCCTGATGAATCGAATGAATCATCGTTTCACACTTCTGTGGTGTGGCTGAAAATTGATATCATGAACGAAATCAGATACGAAAGTCGGGAGGCGGTTCAGTAGCTACTATGTAGCACCATGCTTTTGAAGATCGGTTCCACGGATTCTTGTCACCACGGAGGCCGCCAAGAAAACCGTGTGCCAAACCAAACATGGCACGCAAATCCAATGTCAAACATGCGGTTACTCTGCCCATACTGATGGGACTGGCTAGCAGCTAGCAGCAGCTAGCATGTGGCACCCAGATGTCATATTGTAAAGCAGTAAAGAAGATGATTTTTTCCCTCGAGCACACCTCTCAAGATAATTGCTGTCATAGTTACTGTAGACACTCAGATGGCGACTAAGATACTGTAGATAGAGACTAAGATAGCTTGAGGTTGTTATTATGCATGCTGGTGAGCGAAAGTAAGGAGGAACCCACTGTGAACGAACGAGACGTTTGGCTTTGACGCAACATCCGCTCTCAGTCGTGGCCCAGGAGAAGAAGGCGCTTGTGAGCTTCGACGCCGGTCTCGGCGCGGGGCACCCCCAGTGCGGTGGCTGGATCTTCCCAAAAAAACTCGGAGAGGGGATGCGAGCCGCTTTCCATCTTTGGGGACCACGTTCTTTTTGCTTCCATCTTTGGGGACCTACCACCTGACCCAGCTGTTGATGTGGGTCCGAGGACGTTTTCTTTGGGGAAGAGGACCTGTGCAAAGAGAACAGCAGGGGCAGGGAGAAGCAGACAGCACCGGGTTCTATGAGCTCTCAGATGCAAAAATATTTTTTTTTTTTTTTTTGGTGGACCATTTGGATAAGCCTTTTGACCGCGATATTTGGATATGGCTTGGTGTGGATATCGCAACCACTTGTTTGTTTTTGTTCTGTTGCTTGGTCTGGTTGACCGCGATTCGCAGCAACCACCCATGCTCACGTGGCTCCGCCAGGGGTGGTGGTGCTGCCGGTCGGATTCGGACGAAGGGTTCGCCATGGAGGTCGGAGAATGGTCTTTGGTGAGGCCCAAGGGGGAGACCCCGAGGAGGCGATTCCGCCACTGCGCGGTGGTGTGGCAGGATGTGATGATCATCTATGGGGGTTGGGAAGGAGCACCGGATGCAACATGTGGAGTTTCAAGCTCAGAGAACAAGAGTGGGCTCTGTTCATCACCGAGGGTGACTCGCCACCGGGACGGGAGAACCCCTCTGCCATCGTGTGGGAGAGCCAGATGATCATGTTCGCCGGTAAAGACGATGATGCTGAAGGATTTTTTTCCGACACATGGTTGTTGGACCTCTCAAGTCGCAAGTGGAAGTTGTTGAGCCCCAGCGGTGAAGGCCCCAAGGGGCGCTGGGATCACTCAGCGGTGTTGTGGAAGGATGTGATGATGATGTTCGGTGGGCGCGACGAACAAGAAACCTTGGACGACATGTGGACACTGGACTTGAAAGCCCAGCAGTGGACGTTGCTGAGCCCCAAGGGGAGCCTTCCTGGCCGCCTTCACGGACACTCTGCTGTGGTCTGGTCTGACCACATGGTGGTGTTTGGTGGTTCGTCCTCTAAGGGCAGGACAAACCAGGCATGGCATTTCAACTGGCACTCTTAGGTGTCAAGGGTGAGCCCCCATCACCCCGCCGTTTCTGTTCGACTGCGCTATGGGCCGCCGATCACATCATTGTTTTTGGCGGTGCCGGCCATGAACCGTATACAAATGACATCTGGAGCCTTGACCTCACAACCAACGAATGGAAGTCCCACAGCGTGAAAGGCCACCTGCCTGAACCACGCATTTGTCACTCAGCAGTGGTGTGGAGCAACTACATGCTCGTCTTCGGTGGCAGTATTGAAGGGGGTTACATTGGCGACGCCTGGTCGCTGACGCTGCAGAAGCCATCAGGTAAGCCGGCCAAGCCGGCATTTTCGCCGCGGTGAGACGTCCTCGCCCCGACGCCCAGAGAACAGGAGGAGTTCGCCCTAGCGGTCACCAAGGTCACTATCCCTGAACTGCTTCATGCCTGCCAGGCCATGGCCGCGCTGCCGGAGAACCCCGAGGTGCGGATTGTCCAAACGGAGGGATGGTTTGGACATGCCTTTGGGGCAAATGTTCTTCATGTTTGAAGACACAGAGGGCCATATTTTTTGGTGTTTTTCTTGAAACTGAGAGGCTGTTGTGGAAATTCCTCCTGGGGTAGAAGTTCTCGCAATTCTCTCACATTGTCATGGACTGCCCTTAGGTCCAAAAGTGGGGTTGCATGAAATTGTCCCTTTGTGGCGGACATGAGCGGGCCGCTGCTGAAGCTGAAGCTCCTAGGCTGATTGCCGCAGCCATGAAGCAGCATGAGCAGAATGGACAAATCCAAGACTGGGGCAGCCAGGCCTTTGCTGCCTTCTGTGCCGTGGAGTTTGGCTTCCAAGTGCTGCAAGATGTTGATTTGGGCTTTTGAATCGGCATGGTGCATCATAGGGCACATGATCTAAGGATACCAACCTAAGGTTAGAGGTGCGTTTTGGGCCGCAACTGGCAGTTCTGGGGTGAGACCTTCAAAACCCTGTTCCGGCTGACGGGGGGGCGTCAGTCTCAAGGTTGGCCAAATTCTCAGTGTCGGCATTCGTCATGGGCTGCTAAATTGAAATTGACTAGGAAACACGAGCCAGGTGGCATGTTTGTAGGTGTGCCTGCTTGGTGGTGGACCATCAACAGTATGAACATGTAAGAAGGGGTGTGAAGCGTCTGCACGCTCTGGAGGGGGGGGGGCTGGCCAATCTCAGGCGCTGGAGCAGATCCAGAGAGCTGCAGTCGGAAGGACGGGGCCGTTGCGGAGGGAGCAGTAGAGGTGCTGGTGAAAGCTGCTGTGTCCAAGAAGGCAGCTCGGAAGGAGGACAAGCGGGAGATCATTGGTATGAGAAGAAGGCAAGCAAGTGCAGTTGCAGAATATGCATTTGAGCGTCGCACTTACACAAAAGCACACATGCGCGCAACCATCCCCGGAGTTTGTTTGGGTAGGATTAGCCGATCTGTGAGTTGCGTGAGGTGTCCTAAAGCTGACTCCGTTTTGTGGGGAGGGAGTGCTTTGAAGTTGCAGTTCTCCAAGGCAAGCGCTAAGCGGCAAGCCATTGGCGCACTGGGCAGCCTTTTCCGGGGGGAAGATGTTGGATGCATGCAGCGTGCGGCCCGCTTGGTGGAAGCTCGTGTGCCGCAGCTGCTTGAACAAGCGCTCAAAGATGATGAAAGCTCAAGGACGCGTGGGGTTCGAAGACATCGAATCCCAGTCTCGCTCACCCAGCGCAGGGATCCGCCACGCACATATTTCCCTAAAGAGGATTAGCCGTGATGGGCTCAGACTCTAACTCCTTTGAGAGGGTGCTTTTGCTGGTTGCTTGGGTGGCATCTTTTGCGACCGACTGCTTTCTGAGTCGACCTGCATTGGTGAGGACCGTCCGGAAGGTCTTTGGTGCCTTGGCTGAGCTGGTGCAGGTGGTGCCGGAACAGCTCTCCCCGGAGATGCTGGAGCTCGTCACTGGGCGTGAAGGTCATATGAGTCATATGGCTATGGTCGATTCACATTTTGTGGCACTGCGAGATTTTGTGGCCATGGTGTGGGCAACTTACATATTCTAGATCAGTGGACTTGATTGCACCCACACGAGAATCACGCGGAGTGGTGGAATGGCCCTGCATGTTGGCCTCCATTCTTTTTGGGATTTCTGAATCCAATGGAGCCATTTTGACGTTTTCCAACGCATCATGTTTTAAGATGTTTTAAGCCGCTGGTTTCAGGTAAGGCCCATGTCACATGACCCCCTTGACAGTTTCCTCGCTTTTGAAACTCAACATCAGTGACGTGTGACATGTGACACTGGAGGCTTTTGGAACCCCCAGAACTCAATCCAGGACATCTCCACTAGATCTGCTGTGTGGCTGGTTCCCCGCTTTCGTCTCGGACCTTGCAGGGATCGTCCCACGTCCCAGGTGGAGAGGGCTTTGGCCGCCAATGCCGGGTACGAAGAAATCCAACGCCTGGGGGAACGCATTCAGCAAGCAGCTCCGCAGCGGGAGTGCTCCAAAGACAAGCCCACCTACTGGTCGGGCCACATCGGTGATGAGGGCTGGGCAGCTTGCCCCGTGACAGGTGAAACCTTGAGCGCTCTCAGGAGCAGTGAGGGTGAAATGTATATGCAAGGTGTGGGTTTCATTTTGCATCTAGAAGTGCCACTATAAATAGATTGACCATGCCCGGTTTGACCCGAAGTATTAATAGCAACACTTGCTCGTTCGTGCTGCGCCACCGCCGAACTTGGTCAGGACGATGTTCGTCGTGAACCATCCGGCCGAGCTGCAGGGGTCGAGATGCCGACAGCTACCCCCGGAAGTACGACGACCTGCGCGTCCACTGCGCCTGGCGGATTGAGCATGAGGATTGCTGGGATGCCTACGCAGTGGAACGAGCCAAGGTCCAAAAGGCCATGAAACGACTTCGCCTGCAAGGGGTGCCAGTTCAACGATGGCAGAGCAAGCTGGAAGAAGCTTGCCCAACCAGGGCCTTTTTCTTTTTTTTGTTGTTTTGGTGAGTCTAGTTCCATCTCTACGTCCTGTCGGTGGTCATCCCGCAATTTTTAAGCAGGTCATTTTTGGGCTGAAATGTCGCAGGTGGTGACCCCTTGGTTGTTGCTTCCTTTCTTCAGACCTGTGAGGAAGCATCGAAGAGTTTGCCGGGATCCACATACCTCCGCGAAACTGGAGAGAGGTTTTTGCTTCATGGGTGCAGCCCAGAAGTTGTGCTTGGCATTCTCCACAGCGGCTTCGATGACAAAGTCACCAAGAAGGGAATGTTCGGTGCAGGTTGCTACTTTGCCGAGGACCCCGAGAAAGCCGACCAGTATGCTCGTCCTGATCCACATCATAAGGCATCAGGGCTTGAAGAACTTCACGCCCGTTAGTACCATGGTGAGAACACGCATCCCGAAAGGGATGTTTTTTATTGTTTCGTCGTGCGAGTCGTGTGCGGTGCTTGCGTTCAAACCAAAGGTTTGGACAAAAGCCGCCCGACGAAAGACGCCCTTAGTGGGGAAGAGATTTTCTTCAACGCAGACCTTAAGCAGCTTGTTGAGATTCCTGGGGCCACGCCACCTGAAAGGTACCACACCCTGGTGGTGAATCCCACGTCGGAATCCACTGGACGCTCTGTGTACAGAAATCGTGAGGTCATCTGCTTTAAGGGGGGCAATGACATACGCCGAGTACTTGATAGCATTTACCAGGGAATTGACTTGATGCCTCACTCTGAGCGCATCTATGTTTCATCATTTCACGCTTCTGGGGTGCAGCATAGCAGACAGATTGTTTTGGGAATCAACACAGGTATGCAGATGGGGAGTCCGTAGCTACGACTTAGTCACTATGCATGGCATTTGGCCATGCAATTCTGCTGATCCTTTGTTGACCTCACCCCAGAGGTGCACAAAGATGCCAAGAAGGCCATAGGCCAAGGTGGAAAACCAGCGCGCACACCACCAATGCATAAGGAAGTCCTAGATCTAGTGTAGATGCGGGCATGACTCTAGGAAAGGAACAGAATACTTGCAACCTAGGGCTGATTGAGCTAGCAACCTATTCCGAACTGAATGCCGTGTTTCTAGCGCCGCACAGTCCGACGAGCAGAGCAGAATACTTGCAACCTGCCTTTGCTGATTGGACTTGCGCTGCATCTTGTGGACAGATCTTCCAGCTGAGGCGCACCAGAATTTCCTCACCAAGGCTGGATGGTGTACTCGTCCATGTCAGGAGCTGACTGTCAGTTCCACTATTGGGAGTGATTTGAGGGGTCATTGGGTACTGTACTGTAAGTTAATGCGAGGTCTGGCTGTCCGTGGTTGTGTGAAGATGGCCCGTGATTCGGCTGAAAAGCCTCGTCTGTTTGACTGGAATTCCTTCAGGGTCTCATGCCCCCCTCGGTCTTGCCCAGGCGGACGCAGAAAGAAATAACATGATGGCACTGGGCAGGTGGGACCATCCGAGGGTGGCTGCCCAAGGGAGGTGGTGGAGAGATGAGAGCACCAGACAGAAAAGAAGCTTAAACCAGTTACCCTCTGATGAACACATCACATGGAAGTGGAAAACCACCTGTTTGTAGAGGAGGAGAATAGCCATCCAACGGGCCATGCCATCCACTTCCATGTGATGTGTTCGTCAGAGTGTACAAGATAGTAAGTGGGGTAAGTGGGATGCTCCTTCCCTAGGTGCAGCTTTCTAGAGCTCTCAAAGGACGCGTGTAGTGTGATGCTCCGAAAGGAAGGTCAAACAGGTTGTGGGTGTGGGGCATGTGTGTCTCTCCTCGAAGTTTGCATTTCATCGGTTTTCGTTGTTTTCTGACACATCGCA